GAAAACTACCAATCAAACTAGAATGTAAAGGTAAAGAACTATATTAAAAGTGCAAACTATTAATATTTACCATAAATTTTTTGAAACTTTGTATAATAATATACATATATATAGGTGTAATAATAAATTTGAAATAGCTACTCCTATACTCGATTTGGTTCGGTTTTTTTCTGATTAAAACCAAACCAAACCAAATTTAATCGGTTCTTAAAGTTCAAAACCAAAACCAAACCAAACCAAAAATTATCGGTTTTTTTGGTCGGTTTGGTTTGGTTTTCGGTTTGGTTCGATTCTTCGGATTTTTATTTACACCCCTACTTAGGATCATATATATATATATATATATATATATGATGTTACATGAGTGATGTAGACCTGCCATAGAAGAATGGCATACTAAGGACCAAAAAGAAAAATGAGAGGACAAATGAAGACAGTACTAAGAGCAGATTCGGGGAAAGAACACTTGCAGGTTAGCAAACAAAGTTGTAAGACAAATTATTTAAACCCACGGAGCAATACATTTNGGGGGGCAACCAGAAAACAAAACAAACATATTGTAATAACAGGGCAGAGTTACCCAGTACATGAGAGGTAGCAAGTACGCAGTGGGATAATCAAAGTGCGTGTAAACTAGAACACCAACTGTATTTTGGAAAAAGAAAAAAAAACAGCTTCTAAAGCCTGGGAAAATTGGAAAAATTAGTACTTCTACTTGAGAGTAGCAGAGATAAAAAAATGTCTATCACTAATATCACCCGAATAGTTTTAACACTTCAAAAGTCTCAATTACAACTAAAGGTGATGGACTCAGATGAGCATTTTGGAAAGTAAACTAATTGGTCCAGTGAGCAATAGATACATGTGATTCCTTGCAAGTATATCAGGAAGGAGCTCCGGGAAAATGTCTTCTCTATATAATATCAAGGCGATTCAAAACTTGAAGGAAAAGGTAAGAGGACTACAGAATATGGGATAATTTCACGTACATTAGAGGAAAAAAGATGCAGCGTTTTAGCACAATCCTTTTCACATGAAAGCTCATCGTATGAAGAATTCCTATCATGAAGCTGATAAATAAAAGTTGCTCGTTATGAGTAGCCCTTTAATGCCAGGGATTCTTCTTTCGTGTTGCACTTCTTTTCGAGCTAGCTGAGTTAGATTTCTGCCAATTTTCACAAGAAAAATACTTGTTTCAGATATCTAAAGATGCATGTATTCGTCAAACAGAGGAGTACACACATACCGATTTAGACTTCTTTGTCTTTCCACGTATTCTGTTCTTAGGGGGTTTTAGTTTGTATATCCGGACCATCCAGTGGTGAGTAGTAAACACCTGCATAAAATACGTATATAAGGTAAATGACAAGTAGTCCACACAAGGTTGAACAAATGCAAGTCATGCACGGACTATTTTTCTGCAATTCCTACACCTGTAAACAGGTTATACAGCCAACATCCTTGCCCCTTCCATGATATTCCATAATATCTAGAATCTACATTGCACTAAGTGTTATCTACTGATGATCATGGAATATCAGAAATCATTGATTCTTGAATTATTATCTGACAATTCTGACATATGGATGGAGCAATAACATTAAAATACATCTAAGTACTAATAAAAATATCCTATGCACTTCCGTGTTTCATCTATTAGACTATTTTATAATATCCATATGATCTTGAATAGCTCATCAACGGATTATTTCATGTATGCGGGTGTTAGTCAAATCTGTTTTTAAAACATTTTTCCTCAACAGAAGGTCTATCGGAAACAGCCTCTCTACCTCCAAAGATAGGGGTATGGATGGACAAATATCCTTAACAGAGCTCCTATTCACCCATCCTCTGAAAGCATACAAACAGGGCCAGTGATAAGCCCGATGAAGCAAATAAGTCGTGAGCAGAAAAATGCTTTAGCAAACTTTTGTTGTTTCACAATCAATTTCTACCACGCAGCCCACAAATCAAAATTATAATTGGAAGACAATTCATTTGGCATTTTTGGAGCTGCAAAGATTCAATGCAACATAGCTTCACAACTACAAACTGCACTACTTCATTTACTACAAAGGCAAGCTTTAAATAAAAATATGCTGTAATGCTTACCTCGTCAAAGTGGGTGAGCTTAAAATGTTTCTTTCCAATTTCAGTCCGCCTAACTCTATCGAAACCCTTCCCATCAGTCTCCACAAACCTAAAGCACAAAATAGAGAATGTGTGAATAATTTGATGTTCATGCCCAAAAGCCACCAAAAAATAAACGGGCGTGTTCTCAAGAATTTAGCACCTGTAATAAGATAGTTTGTACATAAGGCAGTTCAGCATGGTTGGAGTAGCCATAGAATCAATCCGGTACTGACCGTCTCTCTTTCAAGAAAGAAGGATATGATTAATGGAATTGAAACTATGATTCCAAGATAAACTCAAACATCAATTGTGTAGCTCTTGGTGCCTAAGAGCAAGAACTTGATAACAGATATTTGATGCACAATAACACGCTGAGAAACATTGTTGTAGCTCTTACAGCCCAAGACCAAGAGCATGAACTTGATAAACAATTCATAAATGGCTCAAAAACGGGTTAAAACTTAAAGAAAGGCAACCACATATTATGATAACGATATCAGAGCCTGTGAATGTTCATTCTCAACAAAAAGAAAACAAGAGCCTGTGAATGTTCCAGAAGGAAGAATCCTTAATCAGCCTAGAACTGGCCTCGTAAAATATATTATCAAGAAAGCAACAAAAGAACTATTCTCTACTTTTTGGTATACTTCTTGTATACGGGAGTTTTCTCCCTTTTGATTAATACAATTTACCTTATCAACAAAAAAAAAAGCAACAAAAGAACTACCCATCAAAGATCAGGGTACATTCTCAGAGATTTCCATGGTAAAAAAAAATCTTGATGGGATATACAGCACAAGTTTACAGTCTGTTGGGCCCTCCCAAAGAAAAAAGAAAGTACTGCTCAGCTGTCATATAAATATACTCCCTCCTTTTCAAATTTTATGGCGTAGTTTGACACAGCACAGAGTTTAAGAAAAAAAGGAAGAGTTTTCAAACTTTTGGTCTTAAACATGCCATAATATTTGTGAGGCTATAAGAGATTTGTAACTTATGGGATTACACATTTCATGACATTGGTGTCACTATACAAGCTTCTCATTAAAGGTAAAATGAGTAAAATGGTAAATTTAAAGTTAAATTGTTTTCAAATATAGAAATGTGTCATTATTTTTTGAACGAACTAATAAGGAAAGTATGTCATGTAATTGAAACGTCGGGGTAATATTTTACAGGTATGCTCATATTTGCATATCAAAGTAAAATATTAATGGCCACTACATCAAGTTCAGAAACAAACAACAGTCAATCAGAAGGCCAAGAAGGAAGTTGGTAAAGGAAAATCACACACCAGATAATCAGGCTCCTTGATATGAGGGAAGACGCCCCCACCTATTCTAACCATCCAGAGGAACTTGTTGATATCATCACTGGGGTACCCAACAAGACCTGAAGTTGATGGTAGGCATTAGACTTGAAGGCTAAAAAATAAGAAGTCTTGGTTGAGCTTGAGCAACATTAGGAGTACCAACCTCCAAAGACAACAAGAACATATTTTACATCCAAAGAATTGAAGATTTCCCAGGCTGCTTTTTCAGGAGAGGACATGGCTGTACCAACTGTTGCAATGTGTGTATTATTCCAGGTGTTATTATCAACAATAACAGTGCGATTTGCCATGGCAGTCGTCTGATAGCCATAATCCCACCATGATGCCACCTGAAAAGAGTTAGCAGAATGACACATACATCAGTGTTTGAGCGCGCGCACACACATATATTATGTATGCATGTAGCAGGAAAATAACTACAAACACTGAATAATTACTTGGGTAAAAGAATTGAAAATAAAGCAACGAAGTATAATTTACAAAGTAAAAAACCATTTTGATCACATATAAAACTATATTCAATTTTGATTCAAATGAACAAGTTTAAGTTTCTAAAATTTAGATATAGTGACTAGCTTGCTCACACTGTATTTCTAATTTCGCATCACACCAATCATTAACATATGCATCCAGAGCATTTTCTAAAATATATCGTTTTGCCTTATTGTTGTGTGCCTTCTTTCTCAAGAAGGAACCTTCTTCATAAGAATTTCAAGAAGGAATCTGTGGACCTTATGAATTCATCTAATACTAAAAAAACAATTGTAGGTTGGCTGGTTTTTGCTAAGATGCACACCTCAGCGCTCCACTAAAGCACTACATAAGTCATCGGAGCCCCAATTTGCACTCCGCCTCTCCTTACGGCGAGCATGCTTCATGTAAACTTTTGGCAGCAAAGGTTTGCATTAATTTATGAAGCCAACTCCAAATTCGTGTTCCAATATCAGCTGTGAGGGTCTAATTACTCATCGAATGCCAACTGGGTTTGAACAACAATCTTCAGATCACACATTCTCTAGTATTCCATCTCTCTGGAAAACAAACCCCAATAGAATCTTGGCTAGTATTCCACCAATAATCTCAGAAAGTTAAATAGTTACCTAAGAATATTCTAAAAAGATATTTTCAGCTGGTACAAATTACCAAGCGACATCAAACTCTCAGACAAGCAAATATAATAAATTACTAGCTGAATTGAGTCCATATGAAAATATACTTTAAGCAAATTCTTGGCCACCAGTACAATATCCTACTGCACCACTATATATCAAATAACTGCTCCGTCACCACATCCATTCCAAAAGTAAACCAGAAATTTGTGCAATAGAACTTACTTTATCATCTACATCAGTATTGTGGCTCAACCATGCATAAGCCTCTCTGAAGTCATCAAATACATGAAGTCCATCATGCGAATGTGATGTTAGGACAATAGATGGAGCTGAATAAGCTTCTGCAGCTGCCCAGACACAATGAACCTATATGGAAATTTAGTTATAGATCAAGTCAACAGAGAAATAAAATTATAATACAATTACCTTTTTCTCAAAAAAGTCAACAAAGAAATAACGGAGAATTTTTTAAAAAAGAAAGGTCTACATTGCAAGGGAATATGAGTACTTGAAGAAATGCAAATGGCATAAGGTATTTCCATTGATTCCTATGGAATTTAGGTAACAATTATCAGCTGAATTGTTGTCATGTAATCTGTGCTTACTTTGAGATGCCGTGTCCCCCCCATTTTCAGTTTGGGATGGCGCTGAGATAGTTGTGTACAACTAAAACTAACACAACACATGAACGGGACAAGCAATTTGTTCTAAGTCATCAAATTGAGATATTCATCAAAGACAGATCAAATTTCATCTACAAACTGACAGACTATGTATTGCTATAGGAGATTGTATTCCTCTTGCCTTAAAACCAGGTTTGCATTTCAGCAAGTACATACAAAAAAGAATTTAGAGCTTTCTGTTTTTGTCATTTCCTGAGCCGTAAGTTTAAGATGTTTCCCTCACTAGGAAATGAGGACTGCAGCACATGCCAACAGTGAGTTCCTGGAACTTTTCATTTATTTTATTAGTTTACTATGACATATACCCATAAAAGAAGTGTACCTCCGACATAATAGATCATCCTTCATTTGCAGCTACTTCTATCTCTATATTGCTATCAACAAAACAAAAAGGTAGCTCACGCAGGGATCATCAACCTAGGACATATGCTCCTAATCATTTCAAGAGCACAGTTCCCATGGAAAGCATGCAAGCAACCCAGGACATATGTTCCTAATCATCCCCAGGGAAGAGTTCCCACTGAAAGCAACTGTTAGCCACAGCTAAGTTGGGTTAGCTTGTTGGGTTGTTTTCATGTGTCCGGAGGAATTCAATCATCCTACAGTCCCTTCTCTCACCAATGTCTGTGTGTGCGCATATGCGTGTATGCGCACTTAATTTACTGATCCAAGTTACTCATCAGCCTTAAAGCAGCAATCTATCAATAAAGGAATGCACTACCAAAGTTAACTAACTTGTACTGAGGAAGGACTTCCTGTATAGAATTTGATCTCTATTTTTCTCCTATTCAGGATAGGTCAGCATTAATTCCCTATCCACTCTTTCCCTTATATTCTCAGAAACAGCAACTAGGAAAAATGATGGCTGATACATGAATGAAAAGGGAGATAGCATCCAGATTGCCAAGCAATGAGGGGAAAATTCCTTTCTCGAGGAAAAAAGAAAAAGAGTTTGTTTTCAGCAGTGGGATAGAATCCTCCAAATATTAGTAATGCGACACCCTGACCTAAGGCATGGACCATCATCTAGCTATTGAATTTGAAGCTTGACTAGTCTTAAGAGCTTGCTTTCTCCAAGTACCTTTGTCAGGGAATCAACAGAAAAAGGTAGCAATCAAGAATTGTACCGTTAAAAGAACTAAAAAATGGTCGCTTATTTAACAATTAATCTACTGGCAAAAGCACCACCTCAACCAAGCAAAATTATTATGACATGTTTCCTCTAAAAATGGTATCATTATCAGACAGGAAAGAAAAAGAATTTAATTCATAGTATATGTAAACATAATAAAGGAATTACTACATGGGAATGTAGTAAGTAAAAGGTACATAGGTAATTCATCATGGCAGAGCAAAGGTACATACCACATAAAAGGCACCCAGCAACATAAGTAAAAGAATAGCAACAACAGAAGCCTCCATGGGTAACATCAAAAGCCTCCTCTCACTTTTAGTAACAATAGGAGTTTTTTCCACATTCTCCTTTTCTTTCTTCTTTTTTCTTGAAGCTTTTTCCTTTGGTGGTTCTTCAGTTTTATCAGGCTTCACCACATCATTCTGCGTAACACCATTACCAGTATCCCCTGCCTTGATAGCGAACAAAATGACAAGTATTAGTTCGGAATTATCAAATAGCTAACGATTGGCATAACCTTCTAAAGAACAACAAAGACACTTACATCAACCTGTTTACCAATTGATGCAAATTTGATTGATCGAGTAAAAACACCAAAAGCTGATGACAGAGCAATCCCAGACATTATACATGCCGCTGGGGCCAGTACAAGCATTAGGCGGACCTGTGATTTCAGCAAATGGAATGATGCTCAAAAGGGAAGCTTAAAGAAAATAGAAAAAACAAACCAGAAAATCTTGATATCCCTTACCATAACACCAGAAAAGTATACTGAAGTCACTAAATAAAGAATCACAAAGGAGCTAGCATCAGTCAGCGGCAAAAAGCATGCCTGCACATGGCAAAAGGAAAGATTGATTCAAAGCCTAGAGAAAGATAAAATTAACAACATGAGAAAGTCAAGATAAATGGAATTGAAAATTGACACTTACAATAATGCCTGCGGGGACCAAGAATGCTAATACATTTATGTCCATAAAGTAAGAAGGCCAAGTAGGTGGTTGATGTTCGCTAACACTGGCAATAATTGGTATATACTTGCTCGCATAAGTTCTGTCTCAATTCAAAGACAAGAACAGACAGAAAGTTGCTTCAGTACGCTGCATGGGCGAATATAAGTATAAAAGGAGCAATGGCACCAGAATCATAACAAAATAAGAATCAATGAGATTTTTAGTCAGAATTGTGGAATCTTAAATCTCCTAGAAGCAGCGCCCCCAGAATTTAACAAAGGACAAAAAGCCCGAAAAGCACAAAGTAGAGATTCCAAGATTTTTAAGAGCGACTAGAAGCAAGAGCTTTAGTTACAAGCAAGAAGGTGCGTGTACAATTTAAGGAAAATTAAAAATTACAGATCATTCATGAATTGAGTACTTATAACATCAAAAATCCCATTAATATTACTAATTTCTACATCCAACAGTCCAAAAAATACATCAATAAAACGCTACTTCAACAAGCCGATAGAAAGGTAAGTTCTCAAAACAGTAACAGAAGAGGATTGTACACTAGCAAAGAAAAACGTTGAGACACAGCAGTAGACGAAGAGTCATTGAATGGCAAACAAAGTACAAGAAGACAATGATAACAAGTAGAAGACTAAAGCATACTTGGAGAGGAGTCCTAAGTCCTAACACAAAGATAGCAAAAGCTTTTTTCTCCTATTTTCTCTTCTTTTTTTCACCTTTAAAGTCAAATTCAAAAACGAGATCGCTTTTCACTTGAATCACTGTGTCCTCTTTTTGCAGTAGGAAACTAAAGAAAATGTAAAGTATCCATAGAAGATGACAACACGAATCATAAAGCAAGGAGATTACGGGTCAAGCAGGCTAAGGCTTCGTCCACTCCATCCCTTTGTTGGGCTAGAGGCAACAAGTGCAATTAGCACAGCTACCACAGCGCAGCAAACAATCCTGAATAACGAAAAAAGAAGCAATCATCACCGGAGCAAATAACAGAATTCAAAAACAGAAATAAATTATTGAAAAGGGGTTGATCCAATTAAATTCATTAAATCTCCACTAGGCATGAGTATAGCAAGCTATTCATATAAATTAGAGGAGCTTACAAGCCTGCAGATATAACAAGAGTCACAGCTACTTTGAACATTTTTGGTGTGAGAATCCCTTTGATGTAATAGACAAGCCCCACAACATTGAGAATTATGAACACCTGTACACAGCCATCAGAAATTTCAGCGCACGTGTTAATTTAATGAGGACCCGGAAATGTCCATAACAATTGCAAACATGGTCAGATTGGTTTGTATTCTAGATATCATCACAAATATAATCATTCATTTTCATTTAAAAGTGTTTCCTGTCATCCATTTAACTATTCCACCCCCATAAAGGCAACTAAGCTACTTTTCTAGTATTCCAGCAATCTTTTTTCATAAAGATAAAGAACTTCCTAGTTCCTTTTTCTAACAAAGACGAAAACTAGGCCTAATCTGCCCCTTTTATAAAAGCTGATAATCACAAAGCATAGTAGAATAAGACATAGACTGGTATAGTGTATATGTGTTTAATCTAATGCTCCTACAAACATATTAAAATGGCCTTAGTTTGAGTTAGAAAGAGGTTGAAGTAGTTCAAGTTTATTATATTATTAATTGTGAGTGGGACCAAAGTAGAAGTAGTCTATACTTTCAATGAATTTAAACTTTTAATCTCATCAAGTGATGCCGCATTTCAAATGAAATGGAAAAATGTATTGGTTATTTGTTTAGAAGGCTTTACATTAAGTAGATAGAATTTTGACATCTACTAAGCAAGAAAGTGGGGACTGGATGGAGAGGAAGGCAGTGGTAATGAAATAGTAGCACTACAATCATAATCATACAACCCAAAACCATGCAATCCCAATGCAACAGGATGATTTCAGCCTGAGGATTCTAATATCCTCACACTTCAATAATGAAATAAGGACAGCCAAGGCTAATCTCGACGAATGTGGTACGTTGAGAATATCTTAAAGTAGGCTGGTAATATGCAAGAATGCATCATCAATCATGTATGCTCGACCACGACTGAACTACTGAGATAAAAGAGTAGAAATGAACCTTACCAGAAATGAAGCAAAATGTTCTGATGTCATGACTGCATTAAAACCTACAACAGGGACCAAAGCAGCCAATAGCGTTCCCAAGATAACCTGCAGCCGTATGATAGTTAGAAGAATAAAACAAACTCAACTTTGTAGAAAATTGTAAATGGCAATGTATTGAGACCAGAAGATTTTAATGCGGAAATTTACTCATTAAAACACTCCTTTTAAGATGACACAAAACTTTATGAATATTTTTGCAAACAAATTGACTTTGGAATCACCACTGCAAATTGTTATCAATAAAGCATAAGGTTCCCAGGTACTAGTGCTTACCAATGGAGCGTAGGCAATGTAAAGCCGTGAAGAATAGCGCCCTGTTACGATGCAAAGTAGGGCGTGCATTGGAATAAGGTTGATAATAAAGGTATATCCTCCCCATGAGCAAACCTGAAAGAACATGGAACTACGATAAATTCAAAAGCAAAGATATAGTAAAGAACAGAATGAGGTAAAATAAGCAATCACCATGAGGAAGTAAATGCCTACCATGTAAAAGTATGCCAAGGCATTTAGAGTAGCATAAAAGAGGGAACCCGTGTTCAGTGTCTGCACCAAACAATCACCATCATTCCACCAAAATAAAAGTGGAACGCCAAAATCTTAACGATAGAAGGATAGACACTGGAAATATTGCATGTAACACAACTTAGTTAAAAGCTGAACATGACTGAACCTTTATATAGAGATAGAAAGTGAAGATCAAGGCAAATATGGCCACAGCTTCATTGTCGTAGCTTCCGGCCACTGATCGAGATATATAGGACGGAACCTGCAGGCAGCATGAAAATGAAACTCACCATTGTAACAAAGTGGACAAGCAATTTTTCCCGAATAAAAGGTAAGTCTAGACTACCAAATATATTGTAAAGCCAAAACAAGATGCTACTTTCTTTTTGACAAAGAAAAATGCTACGTTGTCCTAAAAGAGTATAATAAGTTAAAGGTATAATGAAGATTAAAAAGAATGTATAATAAAGTTGGCTGAGGGCTTGAGTACACATTTGTGCAGTGGCACGCACCCAATAGTTTGTGTTCTTTCTGAACCCAATGCATCCAACATAAAAGCTAAAAACCATCCAAGGGTCATGTAACTCACGTTTTGGAATCATCAAATGAAAATGCATGCAAAAGAATTTACCATGGCTAATAGAGCTGCAGCAGTTAGTCCAGCCCCAGGCCCTTTAACTTCCTACAAAAGCAGAGTCGTAGGACTTAGAGCTCTCGCTTCACAACAGAGAAATTTGTCTAGGTTGCTACACTTTCAAAAGAACAAAAGCAACAAGAAGCATCTATGTCAATTTGGTAAAGTGAAAAAAGATTTAATCAAGCCAGATAACGAACCTTTGTCAGAAGGTATGTTGCCCAAGCAGCAAAGGCAGAGAATGTAGGAGCAGTAAATACACAAACAGTTTCCACAGAAAGAGGAATATTCAGAGAATTAAGTATCCTGCCAATAAATATATAGATAAAACCATTATTCCCTTGGTGCCTGAATATCATAACACTCAAAGATAAGGAAAACGAGGTGGATGAATTGATCAGTTCATAAATTTAAACACAACAAAGATTCCCATAATCTGAAGACTGGTAACTAGAAAAGAGTGCTCAAGAATAATGATCCATAATACACACCACCACAAGGTGCCAGCGGTCAATGTCAGTCCAGGGTAAACAGTTCCACCAATCACTCGTCCAAGTGGGTACCTATCAGAGAAGGAAAACTTAATTACCTGTCATTTTCAATTAAGAACTTATAAGTCATGACAACATTGTGTGGAATAACTAATTCACTCCTACAATCGAAATTACCAGGTCCGATCATCAAACCAATTCCAGAAGTCGTAAATTCCATTCTTTGTCAGAAACTGCAGTTGGCAAAGCGTGGTTATACTTCAGATTGTTTTGTGGTACCGACAAACATTTAATATGAATGCTAGTAAAATAACAATAATTATATGATAATTATTATCATCCAGGGAAATGCTCTACAAGAATGGAGACAAGATAGAACTTTTCCGAGGGAGATAAAATTCTAATTGAGTAAGCAGCAAAAACAAAGCTTCATGATCAAAGAGATCCAAGATTAGCACCACAATTGACAGTGTAAAATATGAAAAATCTAGAGCATAAGAATCCAAAAAGTGATGACCTAAAACAAACTTTTTACAGGATTGCTTTATCAAAACACTCAGAAGGAGCACTAAAGTTCATCTGACCTACTCCAACGTTAATTCAGTATCAACGGACACCATACTTCCCAAAATCAGTATGTTCTTTTTGGGTAGTCAAAATTAGTACGAATAACTGCACTATACCAACATATTATTATAGTTAAAAGCTCATGTAACTTACAAATTGACTAATTCCAAAGTGGAAATAAGCTTTCTCTTGCCAGTTCTTCTAAAGTACCCAATTTACTGGTTTCCATGAATAATAGTGTAAATGTTGGAAAGGAAGTCCCACTTTTTGCGCCCAGAACTAGACATTCTAACAAACACCTACTGAAGGTAAATTGACCAAATAATATGACTTATGTAGCTTTCCAGGGCATCTAAATATACATAATGGACTTATCAACTTTGAAAACTTTACGGTGTTCGCATGATATGGTAAGTAAAGCAAATTTAATCTTCTACGAGCTACCATCTTGTCTATCCTGGAAGTAAATCAAAAACACTACAACTTTCGCAAATTTCTCATTAATGATAGTACGCAAGGATGCCACTAAAATTTGTCAATGTAGTTCTAATTACTCGCCCATCCCATTAAACTGTCCAAGGATTGGGCAAGGTTATTGAGACAGGATTGAAATATCATAGTACATTTCAAATAGAATAGATCCAAAAATAAAGTTAACATTTTTTGAATGGGTTTAACTTTGTATGGTATAAAAGCTCACCCATGATACCCTTGAGAAGATATTGTAGCATATAGAAGAGTGTGGAGAAAAGCGCCATCGGTTAACATTAAAGGTACTACTAACGTAGTACAACACGAGATGTGTGCTAGGCACATGTCATGAGTTTGAAGTTTGAATTGGGATAGAACATCACAATGAAACCGCCCCACAAGAAGACCATATCTGGTATTTAAGTGTAGGGGGTAGATGGGTGAGCTGCGTTGGTTATCCACCGAGTTTGAATTTGTTTCAGTTAATCCAAAAAAAAAATGGGGAGAAAAAAGGGTTCTTCATTAAGTAACGCGTATATTGAGGCATAGTTGATTGAATGATCATGGATAGAAAACATAACGTATTCTATCTTCATGTTTTCTTTAGTAACATTTATTCTATTTAATACTGTATCAAAGCACTCCACAGAAAACAATGACAATATATAATGTATATCCACTTCTTTTTGTGACGATGGTGTCCGGGCCAGCTTAAGTGTACTCCACTAGGAACATGCTACTCCACCAGCACAAGTACAGGGTAACTGTGCCCTTGAATGCATAACGTAAATGCATCAACCTGCTTATATTGCACCTAATTATACATTTCATTTTTTCAAGTCATCGGATCTATTGTCGTTGATCGTTTAAATTCTTCTCATGCATCCTTAACCCTAAATTCAGCTCAATTCAAATAGTTCTTGTAATCATTCTCTAAAAAGGAGCCAAAATGTACGATCCAGTCCTCGCTCTATCACTCTAATAAGTACATTTATGCTGCAGTACATCATTTAAAACAAAATAACAAAAAATATAGTACCACATAAATAAAATTAATTACTTTACACTTTTCTAAAAAATAAAGAATAAAAGCCAAACCTGAGTAACTCTGTAATTGAAATAAGGATCGAACTCGTGAATAACACTTTCATACTTAATCACCTGTTAAAAAGCACAAATCAATCACACGTGATCAAATGAAAATGTAAAAATGCTGGAAAATAAGAAAATCAAAAATCAGATCTAAATTACACGCTAGGAAATTAACTTCAAATAACAGATTTGAATTAAAGGAATTTACGGAGAAAAGACGGATCGAGAAAGCGAGAACACCGATGAGAATGAGAATGAATAATGAGAAGACATTGCCGAAAGCCTGACGGAGGCTTGACGGCGTTACTACGGTATCTGAAGAGGCCGCCATTAACGGCCAACTGAAAGCTTTGGAGTTTGGAGCTAAAGAGAGTGACAGTACAGTTGCGCGCAGGGTTTTTGGTCTTTGAGGAGACTTTGTAGAAGCTGACATTTGAAAAGACGGATTAGTCCTCCCGATTTAACTAAAATGTCTATTAAGCCATTAATTTCTTATCGCCATTTTGGTGAAAAATGACAAACTGGTCCCTTAAGTATGTTTTTGAACAGTTTTGACCTTTTGAGTTGAGAGCAATTCTAGTCTCGGTCAAATATTTAACAGATTCATAATTTTAAATTTAAAGGAAATTGTGAAAGAAATAATTTAATAATAGATACCACCCATCAAATGCCAAAAATTATAACACCCAAAGTTATATTAGACACTAAAAGTATTAAAAATAGCATAAATTACACCTCAAAAAAATACAACCGAAATATAAAAAAAAAAATAGACCAAATACTGGAAAAATTGCAATGCACCTCTGGATGTGAGATCTCCTTAAATCTTCTTTTCTTTAATATTTCTTATTAAATTTTAAAAAAAAAGTTCGGTTAAATATTTAATAAGGACTAAAAATGCTGATTTTTTGCAAATTTAAAGGATCAAATTGCTCAGATTATATTTAAAAGGCTATTTAAACTTTTTCCAAATGTAAGAGACCATATTTTTCGCCCATCCTGGTTCGAATGTTTCAATTGGTTTCCTCGGACATACAGCAACGTGGCAGTCTTTTATTCGGTAGTGCTACTTGGCTTTTTTAATTGTCTTACTCTTTTGGTTCCGGGGTAAAAATGGAAAAGTATGTTACATTGCAGAAAGTGAAATTGCACCTGGTTCCTAAAACTTTGTATTATTACAGAAACTCCTCGGTCAAATCTTAAAATTGCAACTGCATATATTTCATGAGAGTTTGTGATTTTTCAAACTCTATTTCAGATTTTATTGATTTATTTCATCTTTGAATCAATTTTTTTTTGGTTAACCATGCAGTACCTGTTAATAGCATTTATTGAAGATAAAATGTTTTTCTCATACTATGTTATTATTTATTTATTTTGTTATTGAAGATCGTACCATGCAACAATAATAAGAATCCCCGAAAAATATTTTCTTATTATCAAACACTAAATGTGACTTTCTCGTAAAAAAAATTAATAAATAAAATAAAACTTCTGTCATATATAACAAAACACTTAAATTTTGTGTTATTGGATGAAATTTATTAATTCATTAACTTGAATAAGATAATTAAATCTTTTACCAAATAAGATAATTAATTGAAAATTTTATTCTGGATTTTTTTTTTGAAAATGCAATTAGTGCCACATAATTAATATTTCTTACATTAATAACTTCTCCTAATTGGAATAATATTAAAAAAATGTTTTTATAGTATCAATTACTAGAGAAATTATATATAAGGTAGAATGGGTCAATTTCTTATTCCCTTTTATATAAGAAAAAAAAAAGAATAGGATAAAGTAGGCCTTATAAATATTTCAAACCTACAACCCCCATTCCTTCAAACGAGTTGGACTGGCCGAAAATAAACCGGCTTCGAAAAGGAGAATCCAAATTCCGATTGATTAAATAGTACTCACAATTCCGACGTCTTCTTCGGCGAGTTCACTCCACGCTCCGGCGGGTGCTTTCCTTCATCTCCTTCTCCGGCGAATTCAGCTGTGAAATCGAATTGTAAGCACCTTTCTTCTCTCCCTGTATTTGCTTCTATGCGCATCTCTTCAGGCCGAAACCCTAATCTCTTTTTTATTCAATTATTTTTGTGAATTACGAACTGTGATTTAGATCTTATGCTTTGTATATACTCTCGGTGCATAAATAATAGCCTCAAATATGCTTTGTATAGTGCTTTGTATTTTTGCTAGTTAAATAGTGAATATGGCCAAAAGATTGAATCTTTATCAGTATTTCGTGTGTTTTAAGCAGTTTTAGACGTTAGCACTATTACAGTAGGTCCGTTGCTTCCTAGTAGGGATTTAACCTTTCATAGGTTTATACGTGCAGAAAATTAACAGAATATCGAATACTTTTTTTCTGTATGCCCATAATTTTGGCATCAGATGAGTTTAAATGGAGTAACGTGTTCAGTGATGATTCATATAGCCGACCTCAACTTGTTTGGGACCGAGGCGTTATTGTTGTTGTTGCCACGTCTGTTTCCCTGATAATATCTCTTTGTTCCAATCAATCCATCAACACCAGTTGTTAAGCTAAGGTTAATACGTTAGAGTTTCGATAATTAAGTAATTAACCCCTTTTATGGTGATATTGAAGTTTAGGTATTTGGTACTACTTAGTATTTAGTTGGTTCCTTTTTATCAGCGGCATATTTTTTAAGGTTCATTGAGATATAGTTTATTGATCTACTGACTTGTACCTGTCTTTTTCTCTCTGTACAGTAGGTGGAGGAATTTTAAATCCAGGGTCTTCAGCATGGCGTCTCTCAAGGAACTTCTCCCAGCAGCAAAATCAGCTACCAGTACATTTTATGACCATACAAATGACCCGTGGTTCAAGAATAGGTTCGGTGCAACTGAGGCAGAGAAATCTGCTGTTATCAAGGCAACTCCGGTGCCCTCTTATCTAAAACGGGCTGGTTTTAAGCCATCTAAGCTCGAGGATTTTGGGGATGGAGGAGCATTCCCTGAAATCCATTACGCTCAGTATCCACTCGATATGGGCAGAAAGAAAGACTGGAAAGCTGGGGGAAAGACTTTGCCTGTTACCGTGGACGAGCATGGTGAAGTAAGATATGATGCAATTGTGAGGCAGGGCGAAAACACAAAGAAAATTGTTTATTCTCAGCACAAGGATCTTATCCCGAAGTTTGTGAAGGACGAGGATGAAGAAGAGATGGATTTGGACGAGAAGCAGAAAGTAATCGATGAGACAATGCAGGAGACTAAGGCAGCACTTGAGAAGATTGTAAATGTGCGGTTGAGTGCTGCACAACCCAAAAATGTTCCCACACAATCTCAAGACTCCAAGTTTATTAAGTATAAGCCTTCCCAGCAATCGGCAGCTTTTAACTCGGGTGCAAAGGAGAGAATTATTAGGATGGTAGAGATGCCTGTGGACCCGATAGAGCCACCGAAGTTCAAACACAAAAGGGTTCCTAAGGCCTCTGGTTCTCCACCTGTGCCTGTTATGCATTCTCCTCCTCGTCCTGTTACAGTGAAGGACCAGCAGGATTGGAAAATTCCGCCTTGTATATCAAACTGGAAGAACCCCAAAGGTTACACGATCCCACTGGATAAGCGTCTTGCTGCTGATGGCAGGGGACTTCAAGAGGTCCAGATCAATGATAATTTTGCAAAACTATCAGAGGCTCTGTATGTTGCAGAACAGAAAGCCAGAGAAGCAGTTGCAATGCGGTCAAAGGTTCAGAAAGAGATGATCATGAAAGAGAAGGAAAAGAAAGAAGTGGAACTTCGGGAGTTGGCCCGCAAGGCAAGATCTGAGAGAACTGGTGTAGCACCCCCAGCTGCTGCACCTGTGCCTTCTGAGAGAGACACCATGAATGTTGATGATATGAGTGTGGATTATGAGCGTCCAAGAGATCACCCCAAAGAGTCAAGGGAAGACAGGGAGGCGAGATTACCGCGAGACAAGATACGTGAGGAGCGACGTCGGGAGAGAGAGAGGGAGAAGAGATTGGAGGCAAAAGATGCTGCGATGGGTAAGAAGAGTAAGATCACCAGAGATAGAGACCGTGATGTCAGCGAAAAAGTGGCTCTTGGGATGGCTTCTACTGGCACATCAAGAGGAGAGGTCATGTATGACCAGAGATTGTTTAACCAGGAGAAAGGCATGGATTCTGGATTTGCAACTGATGATGCCTACAACGTCTATGACAAGGGCCTATTTACTGCTCAGCCCACTCTTTCTACTCTATACAGACCGAAGAAAGATGTTGATTCTGAAATTTATGGAGGTTCAGATGAGCAGCTGGACAAGATCATGAAGACAGATCGCTTTAAGCCTGACAAGGCATTTGCTGGAACATCCGAGAGGGCTAGTACAAGAGATGGACCTGTGCAATTTGAGAAGCAAGTTGAGGAAGCTGATCCATTTGGTTTGGACCAGTTCTTGACAGAGGTTAAGAAGGGAAAGAAAGCCATGTCGAGTGTTGGTAGTGGAGGCACCATGAGGGCCAGTGCTGGCACCACGCGAGATGGTTATGAAACGTCTAGCAGAACTCGTATTGCTTTCGATAAGGGCCGTTGAGTTCTCTTCCCGTGATAGCGCCCTTATTTTTCTGGATCCATCTTGGCTGCATCTCTGCCAATGCCTTGCAGAAGTTCAACATCAAGTTGTCTTTCATTTTACTATTTGCATCAGCATGAAATTACTCTTCTACTATTGATATTCATGCTGTTGTAACATATCTCCGCTATTGCAGTGTGAAGTTAAAATTGTTTTAAGTCATCCTCTCAATCTTCAGGCTGTTGGAACATGTTCAATTATTGCTGCAACTGCTTTCCTCCTTGACAACCAGTGATGAATTGGAAGATGATGAATACATATCGCTTAATTAAATTATGTGATTTTGACCGTTGGATATATAAATTTGTTTGGATATGTGAAATTTCAGGGAATTTTTTTGTTTTTTTAGTGCAAATTGTCTGTGTTTTCTGGTGTAAGGCCTTTGCTTTCGTCTTAATGATCTTTTGGTCCAAAGGAACTCGCTCTTTGCACAATAATCATGTGACCTAGGTATCTTTTCAGGAAAAATTTATCCATACTGGATGTTTATACCAAATCAATGATTATAAGACGTATGTCTTTTATACACATATTATCACTTAATCATGATTAAGCGTTATCTATTGTCACTTTAATTTTAACTAAAGTTAAATTGTTTGGTTTGGTGTAAATACCCTGTGCAAGTTTTTATGGCATCTTTGTATCATGATTCAGGGCATAATCAACTGAGTAAATGAAGTTAATCAAACAGAAAGGTTGTTTTATTGAACAAAATGGTTGAAGACCACTCAAAAACCTATGCAAGGCAATAGAGTTGTACCACAAAAAGAAAGGAAGAAAAGAAAA